AAAAAAAAAAAAAAATTACTATAAATTTCAAGTAAAGGCAAAACCAGAGATACTGGAAGAGTAAACAAAAGCAACGAAATTGTGGGAGCTGTTAACTAGAAAGCTGCATCTTAAGCAGTAGTTCATACTATGTACAGATTAATGAAAAAGCTCAGGATCTAGGGGTTTAAACTAAAACAAGAACAATGGAGTGAAATCTATATGCAAAGCAATGAGATGCCTAAATCTCCTCCCTAACTCCACACTGTTGACAACTTGTTTTCCTTTCATCTCAAAAGTCTAGAGAAGTGATTTTCAAATGGTGTGGCACACCAGTGTGCTGTGAAAGGATCTTAGGTGTGCCCTGAAAATTTTTAAGCATTATTAATTAAATTTTTTTTGAGCAGTATCTCACTTTGTCACCCTCAGTAGTGCTATGGCATCATAACTCACAACAACCTCAAACTATTGGGCTCAACTAATCCTCTTGCCTCAGACTCCCTGGTAGCTGGGATGACATGTTCCTGCCACAAGGCCCAGCTATTTTTTAGAGATGAGGTCTCACTCTAGCTCAGGCTGGTCTTGAACTCATGAGCTCAAGCAATCCACCTGCCTCCACCTCCCTTAGTGCTAGAATGACAGGCATGAACCACTTTGCCTATCCAATTAATTAAATTATTTTTGAAAGAAAGTTCAAAGTACAGTAAATATATTCTTTTTTAAAATCTTTTTCTTTTTTTTCCTTTTTTTTTTTTTTGAGACTCACTATGTCGCCCTTTGTAGAGTGTCCTGGCATTGCAGCTCACAGCAACCTCCAACTCTTGGGCTTAAGCAATTCTCTTGACTCAGCCTCCCGAGTAGCTGGGACTACAGGCACATGCCACAGTGCCCAGCTATTTTTTTGTTGGAGTTGTCGTCGTTTAGCTGGACCAGGGCAGGTTCGAACCCACCTCCCTCGATATATGTGGCTAGCACCATAACCACTGTGCTACGAGCACTGAGCCTCTTTATCTTTTTTTAAGCAATTACTATAAATTTAAGTGTGCCATGGAAGTTTTACTCTAGGTTCAAGTATGCTATGAGATAAAAGATTTGAAAAACACTGGTAGAGGCTTAGTCTCTACAGATAGAAACAAAGCAGTTTATTCTCTAGACTGGAGAACATCAAGGACTTCTAAGAGAATGGATACCATGATGATAAAAAGAATATTAAGCAATCCTATATAAATTCAATGTTTACTACTGACACCCTCTCCCACACAGTCCTCTTCAACTCCTCACTGCTTTACTCACAAAGTAGGAGATGAGAGAAAAAAATTTTTCTTCTGGGAAATTTAACTAACCCTAGAAGAAAAACCTGACAATTTTGGCATCAAGTTCTCCAAAAATGGTCCAAGCAAATTACTGGACAATAAAAGATACAGGTCCCACTCACATGTTCAAAACTTAAAATCAAATTTTTAATTTCTCTAAACTTATTTGTGAGCAGAAAATCAAGAAATATCTCAGATCTCTGAGAAAACCTCTAATTAGGAATATAAAGATTAAAAAAAAAGAAATACACTTAGAGGAAACAGAAACCTCAGAGGAGGAAAAAATAATCTTAAAAGTAAAAGGTAGTATCTTTGGAGAATTGAGAAAATACTACATACATGAAACAGGGATGCTTTCTATAAAAAAATCAGAAAACTAAAAAACATAATAGCAAAAATCAAAACTCCACAGAAGAGTTAGAAGATAAAGGTGAAGAAATATCCCAAAACATAGGACAAAGATAGAGAGAGAGAAAGAAAGAAAAAAGAGAAAAATAGAAGACAAGACTAGAAGTCAAATGACCATCCAAGGTTATTTCAGAGAAAACAAAAAAGTGGAAGAGAGAAAAACATCAAAAGTAATTCAAGAAATTTTCAGAGAACTGAAAAATATGAGTTATGACCCTGAAAATGCACACCAAGTGCACAGATACAATGGACAAAAAGGAACCTGTATCAAGATGTGTCACAATACCAACATACAATAAAGAGATGATTCCAAACAATTTCAGAACAAAACAGGTCACAAACACAAGATGACTTCAGTGTTTTCACCAGAATCCTGTAGCAAGGAGGCAGTATCTTAGAGGAAAACTTTTTACAAGTTACAAATTCTATCCAAACTAGCAATCGAACATGAGGGCAAGATAAAAACATTTCAGACACACACTTTTTTTTTTTTTTTTTTTTGGAGACAGAGCCTCAAGCTGTCCCCCTGGGTAGAGTGCCATGGCATCACAGCTCACAGCAACCTCCAACTCCTGGGCTCAAGCGAGTCTCCTGCCTCAGCCTCCCAAGTAGCTGGGATCATAGGTGCCCGCCAAAATGCCCGGGTGGTTTTTAAAGACAGGGTCTTGCTCTAGCTCAGGCTGGTCTCAAACTTGTGAGCTCAGGTGATTCACCCACCTTGGCCTCCCAGAGTTCTAGAATTACAGATGTGAGCCGCTGCACCCAGCCCTTGTAAAAAAATTTTTAAAAATTAGCTCAGCATGGGGCAGCGCCTGTGGCTCAGTGAGTGGGGCGCCGGCCCCATATACCAAGGGTGGAGGGTTCAAACCCCTCCCCAGCTGAACTGCAACCAAAAAATAGCCAGGTGTTGTGGTGGGTGCCTGTAGTCCCAGCTACTCGGGAGGCTAAGGCAAGAGAATTGCTTAAGCCCAGGAGGTGGAGGTTGCTGTGAGCTGTGATGTCACAGCACCTCTGTCTGTACAAAAAAAAAAGAAAAAAAAAATTAGCTCAGCATGGTGACATGCACCTTAGAGTCTCAGGTACTCAGGAAGCTGAGGCAAAAAGATCACTCAAGCTCATGTTTAAGGTTGCAAGGTACTATGATGATGCCACTCCCAGAAAACAGACTGAGACTATCTCAAAAAAAAAAAAAAAAGCAAGCGCAAGCTACAGCCAGAGACTTAAATGTTTACTTTATCTACTGGGAACTGCCTCTTATGACTGGCAATATAGTCCTGTCCTTATCTTAAGCTTGTGTTGGCCATTCACATTTTCCTAAACTAAACAACATTGTTATGAGGTACAAATGTAGGTGGTAAAACTATAAAGAAAACTAGTAGGAGTTGATTAACACAAAAGTAAGGCTCGGTCCTTTAGCTTAGTGGTTAGAGTGCTGGCCAGATACATCAGGGCTGGGGGGCCTGCCAAACAACAATGACAACTACAACCAAAAAAAATATCTGGGTGTTGTGGCAAGCACCTGTAGTCCCAGCTACTTGGGAGGCTGACACAAAAGAATCACTTAAACCCAAGAGTTTGAGGTTGCTGTGAGCTGTGACACCATAGCACTCTACCCAGGGAGACATAGTGAGACTGTTTCAAAAAAAAAAAAAAAAGTCAAGTTGTTACATCTAGGAAAAAGGAGGGGAGTCCAATGAGGAGGGAATGCTCAGAGCTTCCAAGTTCTGGCAATGTTCTATAACTTAATGTCAGAAGTGAGTACATGGGTATTCGCTGACTTTTGTTCTCTGAATGTTTACATGCATTCTATTTAGTCTTTTGTGTATGTGATATATCTCACAAGAGATAAATTAACTACAGAAAACAAATAAAACAAAAATACATATAAATTATAAATATATGAAGGAAGACTGGATAGAAATACCAAAGTGAGAATTGTTATTATGCCAGTGTGGTAAAATAATAGATTCTTTTTTATTTTTTTTGAGATAGAACTTCAAACAGTCACCCTGGGTAGAGTGCCGCTGCATCACAGCTCACAGCAACTTCCAATTCCTGAGCTTAAGCAATTCTCTTGCCTCAGCCTCCCAAGTAGCTGGGACTACAGGTGTCCATCACAACGCCCGGCTATTTTTTGGTTGCAGTTGTCATTGTTATTCGGTAGGCCTGGGCTGGATTTGAACCTGCCAGCTCTGGTGTATGTGGCTGGCGCCTTATCAGCTTGAGCTACAGGTGCTAAGCCAAAAACAATAGATGACTATTTTCTGAAAGTTTCTGTGAAGTGATTAATTGTATTACTTTCATAATATTATTTTAAAAGAAATAAAATCAACACTGGGGAAAAGTATATTCCTTATTCACAGCATGAAGGCGAGGACCATGGTTATCTCCTTTGTAGCTGCTGCAGCACCTAGTACTGTGCCTGGAATACAACTGGGGCTCAGCTCAGTTGTTAAGTCAATGTTATTGTTAAATATGAGGATGCTGTGGGTGCAACTTTAATATTGCTTGAAAAGTATCATTCCTTTAAGTGTTGTGTCAATGTTCAAATTTGTAGTTAGTTAATATTAAAAAAAAATTTTTTTTTGAGGCAGTCTCACCTGTTGCCCAGGCTAGAGCGCCTTGACCTCAGCTTCACTCACAGCAACCTTAAACTCTTGGGTTCAAGTGATCCTCCTGGCTCAAGCCTCCCAAGTAGTTGGCACTACAGGCACCCACCACAACGCCTGGCTAATATTTTTTCTTTCTTTTTTTCATTTATTTTTTACTTTTTTAATTTTTAAATAAAAGCTCTTGCTTAGGCTGGTCTTGAATTCCTAAACTCACACAATCCTCCTGCCTCGGCCTCCCAAAGTGCTGGGATTACAGGTGTGAGCCACTGCAACCAGCCAATACTAATCTATGTGTGTATGTATATATGTCTGTGTATATATATAAACACACGTAGCTTTTTAATTAATAAGACACAAAAATGGTGAAAGTATATTATGTACAGTTAGTCATGCCATGAGAGAATTTTACCATGTGGATTACTAGTACAGCACATTCTTTTCAAATGTTCTTAGGCCTCATAAACCTCCATCCTATTTTTATGCCTTATAAACCTAATCTATTATGGGATTACAGAAACCATACTAATACCAAACACTACTCATTTTAACCAATTTCTGACCTAATAAAGTCTTTTCTGAACCACTAATGCAAAAATATTTCTTTCTTTTTTTTTTTTTT